TCCCTTTTTAAAATAGAACAGTGCTCAACTTCTCCTTCCTCCCATGCTGTCAAAAATCAGTGCTCGCTACCGGCATGAAGTAATTTTCAAAGCGCTCCCGAATTAGAGCAGAAGTAGGTCCCACCTCGCGCTCTCCTCAGTCCCTTGGACACGTTTTTGGGGCCTCTCTGGTGGGTGACTGCTGCCTTGCTGGCACTGCCCGGGCACCTGGCAGTGATCCCCGAAACCAGAGAGATGCACGGATGCTGCCTAAGGTTCCTGGGGCAGGAGGTGGGCTGCTGGCAGCAGGGAACCGCGCAGCCCTCACTCCTGCTGCAGGCTGGGACCTTCCCAAAGATTCCTCTGGGAATGTTTTTAGCACGGGCTGCAAAATATTTGGCGATTATTACTGTAAAATCGGAGATTTGATTAGGCTCGCGAGTACGTACAAGATCTCGTGTCCAGCCTGGGTTTTGGCACAGGGAAAATCACGAAGCAGCAACACGATTTCTGAAATCCCCGATGAATTTGTTAACGTCCTGACAGAGCAGAAGCAAAATTTAAGATCAACAGCTCAGAACCGTTTTCCTGCTTTTCTACAGCTTGGCCCAAGGCTTCACCGTCTTCCAATGTCTCCCTCCTCCAGTAATTTTCTCTCATTTCTTTAGCCGAAACTCGTCAGTGTGTTCGAGTCAAGCACACGGAAGAAAGGATGTAAGAAACAGGAATGAGTTTGGCAGCCCTGCCTAGAACAACAAAACAAGGTGCTTGCCCTCGTCATCATCCACCAGACAAAAAGGAGGAAGCGTCATTACACACCAGCACGTCTGCATTAAAGTGCCTCCGAGTTTCCTCACAACCATAAATACTGGCACGGTCACAAAGGCAAGAGGACTTCTCTCCTTCTCTCTCAGTCCAGCAGCCATCGCGATTTCGTTTGGTATGCAAAAAAACATAATTACTTTCGTAAAATTTCCACAGCAATTTGAAGTGTGCCGCATTCTTTTTTTTTTTTTAAGTGACCATTTAAATTAAAAGTGATAGGCCAGACCACGCTGGGCAAACCCTGGCACGTCACATAATTCAATCAGTTTGTCCCGGTTACAGAGCGACCGTCCCGGCAGTTCAACTAAAACCATGGCTCAAAACGGATGAGGCGATTTCGTGCATTCTGGAACCAACGCATACTGAAATATTTGTTCTCCTTCCCGATATTCCCAGTCTCCAGAAAACCAAAGCTTCATGGGCGCTGAGCCAATTTGCTCTTATTGCTTTCCTGCTCGCTCAGCTTGAAGTGCGTGTAGGCTAAAATGCCCAGCAGCGTGCACAGGATCCCAAGGCCTTGGTTAACAGACAGCGGGTCCTTAAACAAGAGGCAGCCTCCCAGGAGGGTGATGCAGAACTTGAAATGGCCGAACATGTTATATCTAGGCGGCTGTTAAGGATTGCAACAAAATAATATTGATGTTTGCTGTTAACAGAAACACTCGGGAACGTCATCGATTACATCCAAGGCACGTAAAGGTGCATCGCATTGACTTCATCTCGCACAACTCCCTAGCATCTCTGCAGCCATGGGAAGAGTTAACCTCCACGTACAGCTTTCCACCCGTCCTACCCAACGCGTTGACACACCAGTTCCTCCTCAAGGTAGACAAACTCAGGTTAAATAATCCTTGTAGGCATGAAGGTCACGTCAGGGAGTAACAGTGGTGATCTCTACAAACCATGACCAAAGAAATAAAAGGCACTAAAACATGACCGTGCTTTCCCAGCTTCATCATGTAAAAAAAATCAGGCAGGTTCAAAGCAGTTTTCCCACAGCAGACCCAGCCAAATAAACGCTAACATAATTTACCTGGGAACAGGAGAAACACTGAATGTTACAAAGGATACGTGACAGGTGACGTATTTCCAATGATCCAGTAGATGGACAAGTTGACCATGAAGGCTATTACACCCGACAGCAGGACCATTATCTGTGGATTAACAGACACAGTCAGCACCCCAGCACACTTCTGACCAGCCACAGACATTCCAGGTTATTTAGTTAGGCTCCTTTACTTGCAAATGCAGAATATCAGGCAGGAAAGACATATTGAGAACAAAAATAGAAACAATTTCAAGTCAGTGCAGACACCGGTGATGCGTATGAGTAGCTCAGGGTATGATGTCCATAAATGCAGACTGATAGCACCGCACGCCTTTTCTCCTTTACTCTCAACGAACAGCTATGAGTGATTTGGAAAACCTGGCTACTCATACGCACAGAAGTTACATTCATCACCTTCGAGAGATGGTCAACAAAGAAAAAAAAAAGGAAAATTATCCAATTTTACTATTCCGAATACTTGCTATTCCGTTCATAAACTCCAGCACTACTTCCACCCGTCATGGAGTGGAGTGATCAGCAGCGGTGAGAAAACACCACTGGCTTTCTTCTGGTGACACCAAGGACATCAAAAGGCTCAAGAGAAATTGCAGCCTTCTTGCTGAAAGAAAACTGGCCTTTCTAGAGAGCAACCAACACTGGCAACCTTCCACAGAAGAGGAGTTGAGAGTGGCAGAAGTGAGCATGCTTATCTCTTGTCTGAGTGGACAGTAAGAGCTGGAACCAGGGCACTTACATATTCCTAATTTAATACCCTAGGGGAAGCTTCTGGATTTTGTCAGATTTTCCTGTGGTTCAGGTGCCTTCTAAACAGAAACAAGAATAAGGAGGTAAATCAATTGACAGACAAACTCCTCTAAGAGGAAGTGGGGCAGATACAAGTTTTGTTTTTTTTTCCCTCTTTCCACATGCCCCTCATCTCATCATAGTTAACGACTGTACAAAAATCTGTTTGTTTCACAAAGAAACAGATCTTAGCAGCAAACATCAAATTTAAATACATCAGCAACGATGGCTTATTTAAGGAAAAAAAGAGTCAATGAAAGTCTTACCACAGCAGAAAGTGTCCAGGGCCCAAATATCCCCCCTTCTCCAAAGACTGGCTCGAAGAAGGGTATGATGAACAACAACATAGCCGAGGACATTGGTGCCTGATAGTACAGCAGCTGCATAGAGTTTACCTGCAACTCATGCTGCTTCGCTCCTACCCACTAAAACCAAGAGAGAAAGCTGTTAAACAGGAGGAAAGCAACCCCACACCATGTACTAATACGGAGGGCGCGCCATGCAGACAATATTAGGGTAACACTGAACTGGTGAGCATTGCTGCCTACTGTTCCCTGTCCAGAGGGCCAGGTGTTGGCTTTTTGTAAGCACACAAGCACCGGAACGCAGCCACGGGAGGAGGAAAGAGAAAACAGTGAAACCCCCCTCAGCTAAATGCCTAGCACCTAAACCTTCCTTTTCCTTCCTTCCTGCCTGGCAGCAAGGAACTCGAGGAGGAACAAAAAAAATAGCAGAGCTGGGAAGAAAATGCCAGCTCCCTTCTAGTCAAGGCAAATTCAAGACCCTCTCTAGGATGGAGCTGAGCACCTCCACCAAAACAGCAAGCAGCTGCAGGGAGCGCCTTTCACCCCCCTTCTTTATATGCTGCGCTCTGAAGCACAGAGCGTGCTTCTGATGTTGTGTGCATCACTTGCTAATCCTCACTGATTGCAGTGCAGGTTATGCTGCTTTTCAAAGCCGTCCGTTTACTTCCACAGACAAAAATTCTGCAGTTTATTGTCAGGAATATTTCCAGAGCTATATTAAAAAATAAAACTGACTACCAAATGTAGCGACTTTTGCTCCTTCTGTGTCATGTTCACTGCTAACACGGATTCCAGTGCATATAATATAATTTGGCTAAGTTTTTTTTTTTAAAAAATACAGAATAATTTCACTCAGCTGCTATCATTTCTCCAGTGCACAGCCACCTGAGGTTAGTACGCCCCGTCTCTCCCCTTCTGCCCCCAAACAAGACAGCAGACCATTATCTCTCATCTTGCATGCTACAGGTTGCAGAGCCTTGCTCCTTTTGGAGGCACAGAGCATCTGCCATGAACAAATTAGAGCTTAATGTGACGATGGCTATCAGGTCAACGTGACAGGGAACTCTAATTTGGGAATCTTTTAGGGTCACGGCAGACAAGGTGCTGATTGCAGGCTTTTAGCCCAGTGCTACAGCATGAAGGGCTAAGACAACCCTCAGACACACCAATTTTTCCCCCCATAACAAATCTTGCCCATCTGGAAAGTGCCCAGATGTGAGGTACTCAGAACACCAAAGGCATTTTGGTGACCACCTTCACCCCCTGTCCCCACCCCAAGCCCCGGGGCCGCTGTTACCCACCACTTGGTAGAGCGAGGTGACCAGGACGCCCAGCGTGGCGAACACCATGCCGAGGGCGTTGAACTTGACGTCGTAGTAGGAGTTGAGGAAGACGCCCAGCGTGATGGGCACCTGCGGGCGAGAGGCACCCGGTGACGGAGCCGCCCCGAAGCCCCCCGAAACCTCCCCAAACCTCCCCAAAATCCCCCCGCGGCCCCTCACCAGCGTGAGCTTGATGCGCAGCGGGAAGGTCTTGCCGTAGGCCAGGCTCTGGATGGCCACGATGACCGGCGTGGTCATGGCCTTAGGCCAGCTGGTAGGTGCCGATGGTGTTGCTCTGCAGGGAGAGGTTGGTGAAGACGACGAAGCCGCAGAAGCTGAGGGCCAGGGGCAGCACCTGGGCGGGCCGCAGGCTCTTGGGGGCGAAGGCGCCGAGCGCCTGGCAGAGGTAGAGGCCGAGCCAGGTGATGGCGAAGTGCACCAGGGTGAGGCTGAGGTTGGGGAAGCCCAGGCGCACGTACAGCCACTTGTTCAGGAACACGATGCAGATGGAGGCGGACAGGTTCACCAGCAGCCCCGCCGCCAGGCGGCCCTGAGCCGGCACCCAGCCCATGGCGCTCGCGGGGCCGCCGCCGGGACCGGGGACACCGGGGACCGGGGACACCGGCACCGGGGGCACCGCGAGCGGCAGCGGCAGCAGCGCCCCCGCCCCGCCCCGCCCCGGCCGCCGCCGCCGCTGCCGTGCCCGCCCCCGCGCCACGTGGCCCCGCGCCTTCCGGCGGCGCCGCCCGCGCCGGGGGACGGGGACGGGGCCCGGCAGCCGCCGCCCGGCTCCCGGCGCCTTCCCCCGCTGTAAAAGCCCGGTGAGGAGCGGCTGGGGGAGCTGGGGGGGGAGAGGGGGGTCAGGGGAGGCCTCACTGCTGCCTCAAAGGAAGGTGGGGGAGCTGGGGTCGGGCTCTGCTCGCAGGGAAATAGGGATGGGAATAGAGGGGGTGGCCTCAGGGTGCCCCAGGGGACGCTCAGGGTGGGAATGAGGCAGTGCTGCTCGGGAAGGGCGGTCAGGCGCTGGGACGGGCTGCCCAGGGAGGTGGTGGGGTCACTGTCCCTGGGGGTGCTCAAGGACAGGCTGGACGTGGTGCTTGGGGACACGGTTCAGTGGGTGACATTGCTATTAGGGTGATGGTTGGACCATATGAACCTGGAGGGCTTTTCCAACCCTAATGACTCTATGCCTCCTCATCCCTTTTTCACCCACCCTTTGCACATTCTCCTGCTGCTGAATAATGCTTCTGCTCTAGAGGGAATGCCTCAGCAGTGCACTGAAGTGGAGGTTCACGCTCTCCCCATACACAGACAGTTTAAATTAGAATGAACACCATGTTTGAAAACCACTTTTATTAGAAAAAAATACAAAAGAGGGCATGTAACAAATATCCTCTCACGTTGGTCAGGCTTTGTCACGTTCATAACTTAAAGCTGAGCTGTTGTTTTTCTTTAAGCAAAGATCAGAACAGCTTCACTGAGGTTTTGTTGTTCTTGTAATCGATGTGTCTAAACTTCATGTTCAGAAGTCTTTGCAAGTATCTACACAAAAATCTATGACTGAATTTCATAGCCCAGTGGATCGAGGTCCTGGTCCAGAAGCATCAGAGAAGATTCCCTCAGTTTCTGTAAAAGTTTTTTGAGTTCTTCTTTTGAAAACACCTAAAAATAAAAAACACTCAATTGAGTTATATTTCTGTACGACGAATTGCACTGATATCAAAATAAATGGTGGTTGACTGAGTTACACAATGTTTTCATTTATTTTTCATTTAGGACAGTGTCCAAAACAGACATTTCAGAATGGCATTTATTAAGGGACTGGAAGCTAGTGGCAGTATTCAAACCTGCAAGTAACATCAAGACAATTCTGTCTTATAACTACTACGAAAATTATTGGGAAGCAGCCCAGTTTAGTGTTCCTGTTATTGCTGCACATTGTATTAAGCCAATCCATGTAAATGCATCACAGTATTTTTCTTAGTGTTGATGGTTCTCATCAGGTTTCTTTTTTTGGGGGGGGGAGGGAGCAAGGGACATTGTGCCTTTTTTGGTGATATATTTTGGCGGATTGTTTTTCAGGGTCTTGGAGGGAGAGGTTAGGTAAACCACACTACTCCAAAATGAAACATGCTTATAAAATGTTCTGAAATGTAATAGGAAAAAAATCAGTTACAGTTTTACAGCTCAACTTATTTCAATAGCCCTCATCCAAAAATTAGTAACCGCACTACTCAGAAAAACTGAGTTATCATCTTCAGTGATGATGAATTTCAAATTTAATTCCTAGATTGCTTTCAGTCAGCACACAAAGAAAGCCTTTACTACTGCAGCAAATGGGAAGAGATGAAGAAACTGAGGATGTTCAGTACCATATGGTATCTTCCTTTCTGAATAGAAGCTTTTCCCACAGTCAACCCACAGAAGTTTTAATTGGAAGCCAAGCTGTCTAGAGCTCAGTAACTCACCGTATAAAGCTTGTGTCGCTCAGAAGCGACCATGTCAGCCAATCTCAGGCACTCCTGATACTGTCCAGTACTGTGTAACACCGTGTGCAGTAAAAAGCACATCATCGGCAGACACAGCTTGCGCAGCAAAATCATCTGATGTGTTCGTTCAGGGTCATCCTCAGCATCCTTAGCATAGCAAAACATGAATGAGTATTATGAGTATTTACCTTTAAAAGGCAACTCCACACAATCATGCAATTAGCAGTATCAGAGGCAAAAAACTGGGCTAACCAGCCTAGACTGGCTTGCCAGATCTGATCTATAAAGTAAGTGAAGGGGAAGCAATCTGAAACCGGTCACAGCAAGGCCAGAGAGAATTACTGCTGAGTAAACACAAGGACGTCAAGCTAAAGATGACAAAGGTACAGCTGGGTACGATCCAGCGTTTGTGGTTTATGCCATGATATAAAAGTTCATTTTACCTCTCTAACATCAACCATCCATCCTCCATCAACAAACAGCAACACGTTGTACATTTTCTCTTTCACATCAGCTGTAAGAGCATCCAAGAGACCTTTCCAAATACCGTAGTCCACCTGGCAAAGAAAAAAAAAATTTGCTGCGAGACAGGATAATTTCCGAGGCTATTTTAACACAGAACCTTCACCTTGCATATAGCAGCTAGCACAGCTCTAATTCAAATTACAATCTTGAGCCAATGGCTAAAACTTAGCCTGCTGCTAACTGCCATCACCACTTCATTCCCTGTACCGAGTATCAAAAAATTGTTCAGGAACAGTCAAAGCCACTAGAAGAAGCTAGCTTTAAATAATTTATTCTGTCATGCTTATAAAAACAATACTTGAATAAACTGAATATAGCATACTCATACTGGACAGATATCCAAAAAGAACTTCTAAAAAAAAGAAAGAAAAAAAACCACCAAAACACAGCAGCATCTTTCAGAAATGAAAATGTGACAAATAAAACACAAAACAGCCTTCATCCTCCACTTCTAGGGAATGGTTAATAGCAAAATCAAGTAGTCAGATGTATTTATAACGCTGACACATATAATGAATATTTACCATATGGTATTGTAAGTACAGCTGTCACATAAGAAAGAAGCCTGAGAATTTATTGTGCAGCTGCCTTACTATTCTTCTGTTTTATACTTCCCCTTTTCAGCACAGAAACAAGGTGTTTTATAATAGAGTTCTTATGCAAGATGAGTTAGCAGACTTCTGTTTGGTTAAACTAAGACTGCCTCCTATGCAAGAATATAAATATTTATAGTAAATAACTGGAAATTTTACCTACCTCATACTTTTTCTCTTTATGTTCATGGGCCACTTTTTCAGTAAAACTTGCTTGCGGCACCAAAGAAGGCTTCTGCGGAGCTGAGTTCATGTGTTTAAACCATTCATTGAAGGTTTCATGGGCTTCCTGGATTGCATTGGGAACAATGGACATTTTTCACTCATTTTTAAGAATGTCATTAAATGCACCAAAAGCCAAAATTTACTTTGTAACAAGTATATAAAGGACCTCACTATTTTGTAAACTTTCAGCTACAGTGCATCCAGGAATCAGAAATCAAATCAAATGGACAGTTTAAAATCTCACCACCGAGGCAAAGCCACCCTTATTTTTAAGTAATAACTTGAGTACGGTTGGAACTATATTTGAAACTCACCAAATATGCCCGAATACACAAATGTTCTCTTATGGCATTGTCATCTTCAGCTGGAAGTGAAGTCTCCATTCCCTGTTCTTCCCATTGGTTATATATTTCTGCTATAGAGTCTTGGGGAATCTTCACAAACACATCTTTTGCAGCTTCATGTTTCTTGGATGCTACAAGAATGCAAACTGAGTGTCAACAATGTTGTACTTACCATACTTTATTTGTATAAAAAGACAAACTGTACCACAATTGTTCATTAAAAGTAAAAAAGATGGATCAGACTGTGCTCTCTCTACTATATTGCCCATACTTTTTAGCAGACTAGATTCAAAGTTACATAAAATGTAATCCCAATAGTCAATGAGAACTAAAAAAAGCCTATAGAGAACAAAAAGCCTATAGTATTTGTGAAGTGTATTACCCAAGAACTTCCTCATGATTGCATTGCTTTGCTTAAGTGCTTCTGCCCTCTGTGCAGGATCAAATACGAGCCAGTCAATTACATCTATTTTCAGCCGATCCACCTGTAAAAGCCAACATATTAGATTCACCAACATTTCAAGCATACAGATGGTGTTAAATACAATGAATCAGGTCAACAAAACACGCAAGTTTCTAGAGATCTTTGGACAGCATTTTAACTAGTAAGAATCACTTTATTCATATGTTTTGTATGAAAAGCTTACAAAACAAGCTCTGCAGTCGAGATTCAGCCAAAATCCATTTCCAAGTATTGCCAAGACTTTCAGACCAACGGATGAGCAACAACTCTCAAGAGTTTTTATGGATTACCTTGCACCTTCCTCAAACTTTATATGAACGCTCTGCATAAACATGGTTTATGGAACCCTTGCTATAAACTTGAGGGGTTCAATCAGCCTGCAAACGGAGTTTTCCAGCTGTTGCCTTAGGTAAGCTTCCCATTTTAGCTCAGGCAGGATGCAAGAGTAAACTTTTTACTAAAGGGCAAAACATTGCTACAAGTTTGCAAACTATCGCTTGCTTTCTAAAGGATACTCTGCAGAAAGAACTCTAGCTATTAACTGCCTTGTGGGCACTAAAGCACTGGACTGGATCCAGCTGAATCAGTAATGACAAAAAACCTGTCAGTAAGGCTATGTGTGTAGTAGCTAGAATATATTACTGGAACATGTAATGAGGTGCACCTGAGCTCCAAAGTGTCAATCCTCATAATTCTCAGAAGCTAGGATAATACCCTGCTCTTCAGCTACAACATATTTTGTCACAGTTATTTCACTGGCTTTATCTTCAATTACTGCTCTCATACAAGCTGGCTGCTGAATGACACACATCACAGCCCAGATCAAGGAGATGTAGAAACAAAGTTAAGAATTCATTCAATTCACCTCCTCACTTGACTGTATGGTAAGCTTGTTTTCCTCACAGCCTTTTTCGAGACAATTTCCATCATTGTTTAAAGAGAAATTTAGATTATATATGGTAAAGGACTCTGTACTTTTCTGGAAATCAGAGTATCTGCCCAAAAAAGTTACTCACCTCTGTCGTGCCTGTGTCTAACATATGATCATGGTGACTGAATTCACCAGCATCCTTCTTGCGGATGTTTTCAACAACAGGTTTTTGTTATCGCTGCAACATCCAGACCTAGGTTAAAAGTATTGTGCAACAGTGATCAGAAATTCAAACTTGCCACTGAATGAATCTCAGACTGTCTGTAGATCTTACTTCTTACTACTAGTAATCAGTCTAGTTATACTCACATTGCCACCCTAAATTACAGGCTTTTGATATAGATAATTTATTGTAGGTATATCTGAGATAACAGAAAACCCCAAACATCAGTCCGTCCTGGACTGCATATAGATCATTTGTCAAACTTCAGAGCGTGTATTTGAGACAGGAAGTGGGCACACAGTTCCTGTTGTGTTTGGACGTGATCCACAAGCAGAAGTGCTATTTAGTTTACTTTACAAAAAGAATTGCAATTCCAGGTTACAGTTAGAAGACCTAATTTAAATACTTGAAGAAGTGATTGGTAAGCTGATTTTATTTAGTTGAAAAATGAAGAGAGACAGGAAGAAAACATCATCTTCATAGCCAGGTCTTGCATTAAGATCTGCTGAAAGACAGCATAACCCATTATATAAAACTATAATTAGAATATCAGCATATCTCACCTGCTTCTCTTGCTAATTCAAGACAGTGGTGGCGTTGATCACTTTCAGTAACATCTTCTAGGAACAGAGCATACTGAGAAACAGATAGCTCTGGGGGCAAGTAGCTAACATAAAATGCTATTAAATCCGTGTGCTTCTCAGATATCAGCCGCTGCAGAATAAAAAGTATGTATTAAAAAAAAGTTATATTCCTCTGTGTAAACACCTAAGTAATGCACATTAATTGATGTGTAACGCAGATGGCTGATTGTTTATTTTCATTGGAAAATTCCATTTATTTCTCAGCTTCTAAGCAAAGGTCAACAGGCTACATCTTATTCAAGTGTTGCTGACAGAAACACTGCATACTCAGCAAGCTTCTTGTATGTATTCAGAGTAATGAACTGCCTCATAGCTGCTTCCATCCTGTAGCCTTTAGTCCTTTTTCCTCCTTTTTGTCTAAACTGTCAGAGAAAACAAAATATATTCTTGAAAGCTTACCTGAATGTAGGTCTTCAGGACTTCAACAGACACTTCCTCCTTATTGCAAACAAATATAAATTCAATTTGTATTAAATCGAATGAGATAATGTTGCCAAAAAAAAAAAAGATAGAGAATATACTTTACAGACAACTACTGTAACATGAACACAAGGTTATTTGCTTATCCATGCTTCAGTAACTTACACTTTCCTACAAGCTCAGCTGGAAGAACTGTTTCTCTTACAGTGTGATTAAAAATAGCTAATGTATCTACTGATTCAAAGATTTAGCTTCAAGGAATTTATTTTTCAGCAACTAGTTAATACAGTTCTGGGTCTAACTGGAAAGTTACTTTTTTTTTGTTTGTTTGTTTGTTTTTCTAATCTTCCCAGTTTACTAGATTATTTTTTATTATTACTTAATAAATCCAGTATCATGAAAAGAGGTGACTATTGGAATGTGCTATATGCTCTGCTATACTGACAGAAAATTCTGATGTTCCTATACATGGGGTTGATGGAGGGAGACTACTTATCACCTGGCTCATTTATTATAGTCTATACTAAATAATTCCAAATACAGCCTGAACAACTGAGACTGTTTTAGCTAAGAGTCAAGTGTTTGTTACTGAAGAACTATCATTTTAGTTTGAGTTGGTTATCTTGTGTCTATGCAGACCTGTGTACACAGGTAAAAGCAGTTAGTGATACCCCTTGTCAAAGGTTTTAAAAATTAAAAGAAGCATCTGCTGAAGTGTATTTAGAATTCCTGTTCAGCCCACAAGATCTGTATCTCTTTTACAGAAACCAGTCAACTGAAAAATCTAAAGTCATTGGATTGTCAGATGCCACAATATAGAAGTTGTAATTGTTCAAATAAAGCAAAGTGCCAGCCCATCTTAAGATGTTTAATTGGTATGTATCTTATTAGTGCTGACTCCAGTGCTATTAGTTCATAAATCACTTTCATATTCCTTAAAGACATTACTGGCAGTGACATCTTCTGTAATCAGCCATATACGGTCCATGAGCTGGGAAATGCTGAAAGCACGCAAACTGCTTTTTGTCAAATTCACATTATCATCTCTAAGTAATATAAAGTAATATAAAAACAAGCTTGCTTTATTTTTTTTTGTCTCTGCACTTTGATATGAACAGTACTTGAGGAGATTTTGCTAAGTTTTCCTCTACCAGCAAGAAAACTAAAAGTACATAAGCACATACCTATATAAATTGTACTCAAAACACCAATTAAGGAATATCATAAAAGCCTGCACAACCTTCTCTTACTTCTGAGGTCTACTGAGATGAATGAGTACCCTTCCTCTAAAATTTTGGAGAAGGTGAATTTACTGGAAGTAACTGACAACTGGTCATCATCCCACAGTGGAATTCACATAGGAAGTTGCATCTATTTTGTTCTCTCTATTAAACATGCTAAGAATTAGTTATACTGCATTGTAGCTTAAAGACCTAGTCTATCAAATTTTGATTCTGGCTAGTATATGTATATTTATAAAATTCATTTATATGTATACATGTATATATGCTTTTTTTTTTTTTTTTAAAGACACACACATTCTCCTAAATGATAACTAACTTCAAAATCAACTTCATCAGGGGAATGAAGCAATGATTACAAACATGAAAAAAAACCTCAAAGCTGGGTTTAAATCAGCAAAGGAAAACACACATTTGTATTTTGCTGAAATAGGTTATATTCAGAAACTTATACAAGCACTTCTAAATTTTAAAGTAGTAGAAAAGGAGTACTTCTAATTATTTGTGATTGTCTCAGAAAAGAGTAATTGGATCACATAGCTGCATCTGCATTTTTAGCATAAAGTGATTAGGTAGCTAGTAAGCTATACTCACTATGTATTTACAGAAAATACGGAACCGTTTTGGCTAGAAGCAAAAGGAGCCAATTACCTCAAGCAAAACAGCATTTACAAGCTCCCAGCAAAATATACAATTCCAAGATTAGTGCTTAAAATCAGGTTATATTAATAGCATCGTGGCTGTTATTAATTAGCCTAACCTTGAATTTTGAGTCAGGCCCTTCTCAACAAAAGGCTTATAAATAGAACCCACCAATCCTCAAAAATATTTTCAAGCTGAATTGCAGGGGAAAAGCACTCTTTTTAAATTTTATTCTTTTAAAATTTTGATTGTTTTGATACCCTTTTTAAATTTTGATTGTTGTGCTTTGGTTCCAAGATCAACAAATACACTACAAGCATGCAGCTCCTCCTCAGCCTGGTGGTACCATTGTTGCACTAAGTTTATGTATTAACATACACACATTTTTAATTCAAACAGTAGATATTGCTACGAGAACAAATCACTCACCTTAGTCTGCAGGCCCAAAGTGCGGAAAAACAGAATAAGATGTGTCATGAAACGAAGGAGGTGCCCTGGCAGCACACTTCTCTCTTTAGAAAGCCATTTGCTGAATTCTTCCATTAAACCTGTAGACACCCAGGAAATGTCTGTTATTAGTCATATCCTGGGAAAATGCCTAAGAAATATTTCAAAAGCTCTGCATCTACTCAACAAACATAATTTAGCCTCAGAAGTGCAATAAAACAGAACAGCAACAGTTTGGTAAATATTCAGTTGTTTGGCTTAAATATCTGCTTGAACTTCGTCATTTCTCAGAAAAAGTTGCAGCACCATTCGCACATACATTCTGACACATTTACATGATTTCATGTCTTCTTTGAAAACTATTTTGTGTGTCAAACTGCAGAAAGTCTCTATAGTTCTTGATTAAAGAAGCAGCTTAGCTTTTAGGTGGAGTTTGCCTACTGTGTGTTTCTACATTCCATTCGCATATAAAGATTCTGGAAAGGTCACTAGAAATAATGTAGTCAGTTGACATTTAAAAATCACTTAGAGAAAAGCTCACCATCCACATCTCCCAGTATAATGAATTTCTGAATCACATGGTAGTGTTCTTGGTTCTCCTCTATAACCCTCTAGGGAAGAAAAAGGAAAGTTCAAACTGTGAATATAATCTTATAGCACAATATATAAAGAAAGCAAAGTTATAAATAAAGCAAGGGTTCCTTAGGGAAAAAAGCTATTCTATTTCAAAGGGTATTCTGCATAAAAAGCAGAAGAAAATATACCTGTTATCTCTATGTCAAATTACAAGAATATTGACAAACTGAAAGATACAGAACCAGAATATAGATCTGTGAAGTTCATACTTTCATGTAACGGAAGAAATTCAAGACCAAGGGCTTTTTGCTTTGAAGAGGAGAATAAGTAGCAATGTTACAGAGAGTAGATTCTACAAAGCCATAGAAAAAGCAACATTTTGTATAAAGATGTAAAGAAAAGGCCTGTGAAACTTATTTAAGGAAAAGACTTTTTTTCTGTAGAGGAACTAATACATGACATACAATTCAACTGCACCTGTGAAATTGCTGTGTGGTGAGAACTAGCACTAACAGGCTATGGCAGCTGGGTGTATCTGGCTAACCCAATCGACCTGTAAGCTGTCCTTCAGCATGTCTTTGTCTTAGCAATATGATGAGTACTATGTCTGTTCCACCAATGGAACAGGATTTGATTCCCTTGAATTGATTTCATCAAATCTACCTTCAATTTAATATTTACAAAATTAACAGGTAAGTTATATATTCTATCTCAAATTAAATAAATACCCTAAGTGTAAAGAAGAAACAGTCTGCTTATGCAAATACGCTTCTTAATTTTCAAAGACCTGTTCTGAAACATGCACTCAAGCCTCCTACAAAGAAAACTGCATGAAATCAATCCTTGCACATTCTGTCGAAGTGTTAAATAGGTGATTTACTTTGTCTGCTTTGCATGCCTTACAGCACTTGCTAGTACCCTGTTTCTTTAGCAAATCTAGTTAGCTTAGCAGACACAGGACAAGACAAAACCTGCATCTTTTTCATCATTAAAAGGTGGCAAAAAAAACCAACACTATCTGAATTGAAGAAGTACACAGTACAAAGATATAAACCTATAACAAACCAGCCACTGTACGTATCTGAACATTTCATTAAACGGTGGAGTATAAGTACAACCTAGTGAGTAATTAAAAATAGTAAATAATGAGCAGAAACTGTAATTAATACATACCTTTTTGTCTGTTGCTTGAAGTTCTTCAAAAACTTTTTCTGAAGTCCAACTTCAAAGTAGGAGAAAAAAGGCAAAAAAAAAACACATTAGCTTGAGTATTGCAAAAGGATCACACAGGATCTTTTGTTGAGCGTAGGAAAGTATTTGTTACTTAAAACTTACTTGGTTTCTAAATACTCTCTAGGGAGCTCTTCCGTCTCCTCTGTAGCTACTACTGACGTTCGGATTTCTTGCTCCACAAGAGTATCTACCATGACCCTGAAATATGCCCAGACAGTATCTTCCCAGGTATCACAAACTGGAAGAAGCTATGCATATAAACAAAACAAAAGAGTAAAAGTTATGAGAGATTGAGAACCATCAGAATCCAAACATAGCGACTGTAATTTAGGGTCAGAATTTGTTCTGTCAAAGCAGACTGAAGACCATCTCGAGCAGCAACCGTTCCTTCATTAGTGCAGGATACAGTAATGAAGGACAATTTACAATAAAAGAATCCTTTCACTAAGTAATGCTCTACTTCCTTGACTATTTTAAATCAAAGGTTGTCAAAATAAATACTCCTATTTCCTCCTTTCACAGGTGACACCACTTTGACACCATTCCCTCTCTTGTGTAACAGCTCAGATAACCAGTACAGATGAAAACTGAACTCCACTTCTCTACCGGGTCATTTGTCAACAGGATCACTTTGCCGTACTGGTTTATGTTATGGTTGCACAAGTCACCGTGGAATAATGAAAAGTGAAGGGCGGGAGGAAGGTCTTTGCATCAGTGACACCTTGGAAGTCTTTGAACTATGTTACTTTATTCAGAAACTAAGAGGATACAGATACACACAGAAATTATATATACATAATAATGTATATAAGTAACACACACACACACAAATATAAATATATTAATTCTCACTACACCTCTAAAATTGGTAACATGACGTTTGATAAATCTCAGTTTGAGAGATAACCGAGCAGGACAGCCCAGATAATACTATTATAGATAGATTAATAACTGCCTTTGGAGAATAACTTTATATTCAGTTCTTCTCTGAATCTTACTATGCTCTTTCAGCAGAGAAGCCTTGGGACAAGTTCCAGAGACAACCACACACTTCATGAAGCATTTCTATCTTACAGAGATTTTAAAATTACTGAAATTACTGAAAACAACTAATTTCATTAAGTGTGTCTTTCCTCTGCCACAAGAAGGTGAACACTTCTTGCTCCATACATCTGTATTGTTTTATGATGCCTTCTTCTGCCAAAGAACCGATTTTTAAACTTCAATGACTAAAATCAGAAAACATTCACTGTCACCCCTCCCTTTATTTTCGGATTTTTTTTTTCCTAATACATCATTCTAAGATGGGGGAGGGGGTGTCAATCTCCTCAAGTAGGGGATTATCACTGGTTAATGTAACAGCAAGTAAACCTTTATGATATTGACTGCTACTTTCCCATTGTTCTTTAAAAGAAAAATCTCTACTTAGGAGAGCACAACAGTACCTGGAGAATTAAAATTAATAAAAGGGAGAATTACATAAAGATAAAAAAGTATCATACAGAAAAATAAAAACTACTGATTGTGAAATTTCATTACAAAATAACCTGTGGATATACCAACTTGTCTAATGCTTGCAACTTAAAGCACTGACAAATCACAATACTGTGCATGAGCAGAAAAATGACTATATAAGCTCTTAAGTAATACTAAAATGAAAAAGAAATAATACAATGGAATTAGAATGGATTGTACTGCCAGCTAGCATGAATGATACTAACAGAAGTCGATCAAGTATATTTAGCTAAGGCATGAAAATCCTAGAGATCACATTGACTAAAGCAGAACTGTTTGCCATTCTCATATTAACTAGATTTTTGAAAGCACATTAAGCAGTAATTGCAGCATGTCTGATGATGTTATTGTCACATATAAGAACCAAAACGCACAACTATCAAACACCATTCACTAGGAGGCTTGACATACCTGTTTGAGGTTTCCACTGAGTGCTGCATAGATTGCTCTCTCATATCTATTAAACTGCTCCTAAAATAAGCAGTTGAAAACATAACTTTGAGTTAAAAAGCATGGATGTTTCCTGATCACTTTACATTTTATTAGTGATTAATCCATTACAAAATGTTCCACTTGCTTCCGAAAAAACAACAAACAAATAAAAAGAAATTGGAAAATTCCCAGACATATCAGGGGCCAAAATACAAATAGCAAGTGACTTCCCCTTCTGTAGCAAAACATTGTAACTTATCTGAAAAATTTGCATGTATCTGGAAAGACAACAATGTTTTTTCCTTTCCCAATCAACCGAGTCAAGATGAAAATCAAAGTCAGTGTGAGCATTTTCACTTTCAACCAAATAAAAAAAGACACTTCCTAAGCCTTAAAAATTGATGACAATTATGTAGATTTTTCACTGTAAGACATAACTATATTATTTCAGGAGTCCTCTTAGAAAAGTTAAAAAATCCTTGCAAATCCTAGAAGCAGCAAACACAAACGGTAGGTTTACTTAAAATCATGTTATCGAGTTTGAAGAAATTCATCTTTAATATCAAGCAAATTAACATCAACTTACCTCTTCAGCCATACGCCAACAACTTATTTTCCAAATGCACCTGTATGGATTCCCTTCAACGGGCTCCAGCTCTCTTCCTATATGCAAAGGATAATTAAACAAATATACTATTAAAAAAATAAAGAGAAAACAGTGACAAGGTAAAACCTATTTTCTGTTATTAACCCTATCCCAATCCCTAACCCTGTCCCTTTGAAACTCTTCCCAAAGCTTCTCAATCCTTTTGACTGGGCTGCGGGGTAGCTTTTCTGGGAAGCCTGGTAAATGCACAACTAAAAATTACAGTATTTTAAGTATTTACCTGCTATTTAGCCTTGCAAAAAATTGTTGTTTTGACTGCAGCATATCTATTTACATTTAGAAAACACAGAGTTAAGGAGCAAATATTTTTTAGGAGTATAAGCATCTAATAAATGCTGCTATTCTGCAGGCCTCTGCATGAGCGTACATCATGGAAAAAAAAAACAATACATGACTGCAGACTAGGTGGATAACACTCAAAACAAGGCTAGGACGCCAGTGAGTTGCGCAGATAAAAATAGTGGAATATCAGGATTCAAAAAGTAGGAAAACAGTATGCCTCCCAGTACCAGCTGTGACTAGCATATAAGATATGTTCTTAAATCCTTTGGTGTCCAAATATTATAAAAAAATATTTTTTTCCTTCATTTACATTTGCTGAACTCAAGTCCTACTGTATCTTTCTGAAGCTTTTTTTTTCTTCAGTCTGTAAGCAATGACATCTTTGCTAGAAGGCAGAAGTCAGATGTTGAGAAAATACATAATGAAACATTATATGGTAGTGGAAAAGATCTGTATGGAATTCCTAGACAGCTGTTTCCTAGCCATTATGCTTTCTTTTCAAAAAAGAAAATGACTTTACCGTGTTAAGTGGATTCAGTGTGCTCAAACCTTCAACTAAAATGATTGCATATTAGTTTTTATGTAGGTTCAACAGACATGGTAAAAACATTTTAGATATAAGAAAGGCCCTGAAGATGTAAAGAAAAAACAATTTCTTTTTGCTAGAGACAGACATTAAGAGAAAGCCCTCTTCCGTATTTTTATACATCTCAAGTGCATTTGGAAGCAGATACCTCCATTTCTGTTAGGATCGTGATACAATTTCCATCCTTCCAAAGTTGCTGCTCTCCAGGCCTGACCACATCGTTTGCATAAGCGTTGTGCCTGAAAAACAATGCATTTTCTCAGTAATGGACTTCAAGGTAGGAAACCCACCAGTTTCTCCATTAAAAATGTAAATATTATTAAAATAGCTAACTTGCATAGAGATTGTAATACAAAAAAAAAAAGAAATAAACAAAGAACCTTAAACTCAAAAGAACTGAGAGTTGAAAGTCAGTAAAAACTCATTAGCTTGTTTTTCACTAAACGTTTCAGTTTTTCTGCCAGTACTTAGAGCAATATAAGAAATATGCTACAGTCCCACTATACTAGCTTAGACAGCTGTTACACATCCTTCTGATAAGCTCACTTTAAGATATCATCTTGTTGCTTAGATGGTCTAATCCATCTCTTCACCTACTTCTCTAATCAACTGAGCTTTCCAAACCCCTCAAGCACTTCTAAAACCAGCAATCCTAATTTTCCCATGATATTCAACAGTCTGCTCACTAGCATGAAAAGGTTTAATTCAAAGCTATTTTGAATAGTGTGGAATGTAAAACAAACTCTGTGAGGAAAAAAAAAAAGCAACAAAGCTTGCTTAGAATTCTAATCCTACACCTCTGAAAAAAAATCAGCTACAGATTATCTGATTAGTCTGACTGGTATCATTCCAACACTAACAAAACACCGAACAGCAAGAGAAACTGCAATACGTGGCCTTGGTTTGTTTAGCTAACCTCCATTTGCCTCATGCTGAAAAGGCTGCAGACATCCAACCATTTTGGGAACGGTAACAAACAAAAGAACAGACAAACAAGCCAACACGTTGGTCTAGCTTAGGAGCTGTGCATTACATGTGGTAATGTAAATTAACCAAGATTCACTGTTAGTTCAGATTAAACTCTAAATAAACTTATTATTTCAGTAGTGAATAAGCTGCTTTGTGCTTATCAGACAGTAGCAATGTCTAGCAGCTACTGAAGAACAAGTGAAATTGCAGATTTATATTCATACTCTGCAGCAACATAGTCTTGTGCCCATACTATCAGAAAATGAACGGATATGTACCACAGGGGAACAAAACGCTAGCAAGTAACCATTTCCCTAAGTCTAAGGTTTTGGTTACAAGACTCTCACGTTCCTTTTCCTTCCCATTAACCAAATATTCCACGTATGTAGACATTCCATGTATGTAGAGCCCGGTATAAGGGACTGTGTTTCCAACTGAGGTCTTTGACAACACAACTATTTACATGATAAAATCACAAATGCTGCTCTGCAACTGGGAATCTTTATTGAGAACTGCTTTAGGATTGCCTGGATGTTACTCAGATAAGGAATAATGCTAAGTATATGCTACATATATATTTAGTATATTCAGTAAGACAGGGCAACAAGCACAATTGTAGTAAAAGAGTTAATGGAGGAGAATTACAGGCTTTCTAGAATATTCAGATAAAGTCTTCCATAGCTTTTGCTGCTGAAGACCCTGCCAAACAATAAATGTAACAAAACAAAAAGTAGAATGCTAGCCATGACTCTCCCTCAATTCCATTCAGATCATATAATCAAGGGGACATCAGAGGAGCAGAGCAAGTAAAAGTTGCTTATTATTTTATATATTGATTATCAGACATGTGATTAGGTAGTTCTTAAAAAAATCCAACGTGTTTGTCTGGCAATATTTAGTATCAAGCCACTACAGTAAAAAAAAAAAAAATTACACTGTCAAACAACCAAAATATAAAGGTGTAACTTTTCTTTCCATAGCATCTATTCCACACCTGAAATTACTTAACTAAACGCAAGATTTTTTAACTACAATTTCAGCAATTTCACTTTCTTATGGATAATTAATTGAAACTTAAATCCCTACGAGCCAGAATTAAACAGGCATTTTAGTACACAGCTTGTCAATAGCTTTAATAGCAAGATTTTAAAAAAGTTTAACTAGTTAACCAAGAAGATTCTTCCACTTCCCGTGGCTTACCTCATCTTTCATTCCTGCTCTGATGAGAGTGAAGAGATACTTCAATAACCTTGCATCATCTTCTCGATCCAAATCGTCAAGTGGCAGTTTCTGTCTTATAGGAGCATCTGGATCCTGCAAGGAAAAAGGCACCGACCCATTCACACAATGCACATCTGCCTCTTCCAATGATTTCCTGTCCTGTTTTATAATTTTGAGTCACATTTTTACGTTGGCACAATATGCTATACAGCCAACATATCTAGCGTGATACTTTCCTGTCTTTCCCCTCTTACTTCTTTTATTCCTATTCTGTTACTATTCCTATCAGAGGGAGCCACTGCAGTCACTTTATTTACTCCACCACCTTTTCTTTGCCTCGGATTTTTCATCTTCAAGTTCTTCTTGTCCTTAAACATCATTTCCCCTTCTGCCTCTCCACCTACCAGACAGTCTGTCCTTCTCCACCTTCTCAGAAGCCTTTTCTATAGCTGTACTTGCTTCTACTTAATCAAACAGATTTTCTCAAGCTGCTTTTCAATCAATGCATTGATCACTCCCTAGTCACGTTCATCTTCCATGACTGCCTTGCTGTCAGAGACACTTCATTCTCTCCTTCGACTGGACAGTCTTTTCTTCCCTTGACTTTCCTCCTGTCAGCTTTTACTACAGTAGCTCTAAAGAAATCCCATCATTTATGGGATTTAGTTTCATTGCACTAGTTTCTGTATAACAACAGCATGCCCTTACTTATAAGGGTTTCCACTAACTTCTGTAAACTTTCCTGCTTATGAACATGAGTTCGTTTCAGACAAAATTTACTAATAAAGACATTTATTTCACTACGTAGACCACAGGTACTTGTGCTAGAAAAAGTGATGGCTGAAAGAAAACAGATGTCTACACATCTCAAAAGAACTCCAGAAGTATCCGGGCTCAGCGAGTCTCTTCCACTGCTAATTCCTTTACAACATGTTCAAACTTCCAATTAAAATCAGTGAAGTTTATTTCATCATCATAAAAAGCTTTTCTAGAATCTCATTCATCTGACAGATCTAATAATGTAATTGTTTTCTTAATTATTCTACAACATTCAACTTCAACGCTAACATCATCTCCTCAGCTAGTCCTTACTGCTTCACAACTTCTGTACTGATTTTCACCTTTTCCAGCTTAGCGTTCTGCAATTTTTAGATACCAGGACTTTATAAAAATTGGTGGAATTCTGTGAAAATAACATATATGCTCTCTAATTCAATTTATATCCATTTTGAAACCAAGTCTTAAATTTAAATAAAACTTACCAATTCTGTTACGAGAGCTCTAGAACTTCCTGTGTATGTACCTAACTGTCGCTGCTTCAGGACATGTAGTGTATTCTCCCTGAAAGCAATTAAATGCTCTTCAGAAAAAAAAAGGCTTTAGAGCAACCACATTTTAATAAGACACAAATATTAAAAAATACTTAATACTTGTGAGTAAGTGGAACAGGATTACAGAAAAGACATACCTGGTTTGGTTTGTGTATCAATGGACTGCGTTAGTGAAAATGTAAAATTTCACTAGAAGTATAATAATGGAATCAATTCCCATAGCTTTGATTTCTTTCAAAAGCACCCATTATTCTAATCATTCACGTATTTAAACTGTGAACTGATTTCTCCATGAGCAAAATTTCTCATTAGTATTCACTGTAGTCAGTCTAGGACAGAAATTCAAATCATGTTGAACATGATTCCAAAAGCCTGTATTCACTCATCCACTGAAACCAAGTTTACTCTAGGCAACTAGAATCACAAGCAGGCTTTGGTCTTTTCTGCCATAATATCCACCATCGTTAAAAAAAGATTACAAATAATGACTTCTGAGGATCAATGACACAAAGTGATGACAAGAACTTGAACAGGCAAGAAGTAAAGACAAAGAACTGAACACCTGAGAAACAAGTAAGAAAGGTTTTATCTAGCATAAATAACAGGTTGAACAGCAGGTGACCCTCTCTTACTATTCCCTATTATGAAAAAATGAAATCATCTTGTTAAAGAGTAAATTAAATTGTTTTCATGGCTTTCCTTTCATCCTCCCAAAAGCAGCACTTGACATTTGAGAAGACATCCTTTAAGTTGGGGAGGAAGCTCAATTTTATATCTAAGAACTGAAGGAAAAGAAGTAAACGAACTGACCAACTTAAAAAACAAAACAAAACAAACAAACAAAAAAAAACAACACAAAAAAACAGTTCTTCTTCAGAGTGATTTTGGACCAGTTCTGTGTCTAGGTATGTGAATCTTACACTCAAATGAAGCATGTACACAAAACACAAAGTCTGAACTCACCAATATACAGATTTTGCATAAAACTCAATATTATCAGAGAAGTCCCCAATTTCATCCTTGGCAATGCTCTCTAGCCAGTCTACCACCATCTGGAATGATAGGAATTTGCATTTTTAAGACAAACATTTAACAAGTAATATTTTAACTGTCTTCCTCCCATCTCTAAAACTACTTGTTATCTAGAGAGTAATCAAAAGACTACACCACCGTACATACCCACTTTGAAGGTTGTTTTGGCCCTTAATCTATTTCTTACTAGATACTGCAGTTACTACAGTGCTACCAGTTTATTAATCATTATCAACAGTAACAGATGCTCCAAATAAGAATAGCTTGCAGCCTTCCATCCTCTCCAACCTAGCCTGAAAAATGTTTCTGATCTTTAGAAACTAAAGAACGATATTTCTACACGTACAAATAATAACATGCCTAAATGAATAAAAAGAAATAAGTATTAGAAACAGCTTAATTAAGTGCACATAACTCATATTTTCTGAAGCTTATGCAATACTAGTGTTACAAACATTTAAATGTCTATTGGTCTATTTCCATTCTTACCATAAAAATGTTGTCATACCTGGCTTTGTCGAACAAATGAATCTTTCTGAAACAAGTTTTCTATATTCGTCTTCTCACTAGCATTTAAAGGCTATTTAAGAAAAAGTTGATTAGTACTTCCTCAAAAAGAAAACTTGACACAAAAACACAAATACCGAACCGAACACATTAACTTACAGATTTTCAACAAGTTCAGCATGCTACCTCTCCCCTGTCCCTTTGCAAACAGACAACAATACACATTTGTTTCATTAGGATCATCATCTACATCCCGTTATACTAAAATCTGTAAAACTAAGACTGAATATAGTTCAAATGTATGACCACAGAAAGATTCTACATAGCAGATCCATCAGTTCCACTGGCTGCATTTGTATCGTCACAAATTTTGTTTATTACTGTGTATGTCAAAAAGTGGACATTTTTCTAGATCATATAAACTGTAAACATGAGCAAGTAGAAAAAAGGAAACAAACCAAAACCTAGCCAAAACACACAAAAAATACACCCCAAACTCCTGATATTTCTTCCTGCTCTCCTGCATTAATTTAGCTTTCTTGCTACAAAAGGAGAACAAAATATGAATTTTCCTAGTAAACAGAGATAGGAAGAGACTTATTTTTGCACAGCCGTGTTTAATTTAGAAGTACTGACAACTTTGCAGTGGGAATCATAGATGAAGCTATTTCATGACTGAGAAAAAAACAGCAACAATCATAAATTTTACAAAGGCAGAGTCACTTTGCTTATTGTTTTGTCTTCCTAAGCATATTCTGGCAGCAAAGGCTGGAAACACTGTATTGACATAGACAAGACGACTACAGCTGAAATAAGAATGATACAAAAGTTTGGATTTCTTTTGAGATAAATTGGAATCAGGATTGCAAAGTACTACACAGCTTGAGACCACATGTACTTCTAGGCAAAGCAAAATTATCTCTGCCCCAGGGGAAACATTATCACTACCGATGCAACTTTTAAAAATAAATATGTAGTTGCTTCCAGTGGATTTTCCAACTATGTGGGGAATACTTAATGAAACAAAACCAAGTATAGTTAATACAAATTCTTATAATAGTATTTTCCATTTAGAACTGAGTATTTAAATTCACATTTTCCAACATGTGGAATAATTTAATATTTATCTTGCTAGAGTTCAAATTGGCCTCATCTTTGTTTATATTCTTTTATCTCTGAATTTTGAGGTGGCTGCAGCATTGGGATTGTAAAAACTAAAACGTAAGCGTTTAGCTTTAAGACACATCCCTTACAAACAGTAGTAATAGTTTTCCCCCTCAAGCTTACCATGAGTTCAAACTGCAGTTTCATCTTCCAGTGCTGACTGTATTCTGTCTCTAGAAATAAAAGTGCAAAGCCTTAATGATTAAAATAAAGATGAGAAAATTCAGCAGAATATGTTATATAAGTGAAAGTGTTTAAAAATACCTTTACAAAAAAGTGTTCTTTTATAAAAATACATTTAAAAAGTAATAATAGGACTGTTAACTTTCAATTTCATACAGGCAAAGGAAATAGGCATCATTATCAGCAGCTAGTTCCATAAACAGATAGTAAGTAGCTACTTAATTACCTTATTCCATATAAATAATCTTATGCATAATGTATCTAAGAAAGTCAGCTCAGCGCAAAGAAGTAACACACTTTTCAAGTAAATTACCTATAAAGTGCAGACAAGAGTCTCCATGTTACCATCTCCTGCTTGAGTAGCCACAATACACTGGCAGTTTTTGAGAACTTTTGCTGTCCAGGCGTTGCTCTGTAAACTATTTTGCCTAGTATGTTCACCTGAGGTAAATAAATGCATACATAGTTAATAATGCCCATCACTGGATATTTTTCTAAGCTGTTGCGATAATCTTTTCATTATCCCGAATACTCCCTCAAAAAACAAATTTAATTACCATCTCTTCTAAATAGGTAGATGGTACTCCACACCGTAAGTTCCCACAAGAATGTTTAAAAAATGTTTTATGGTCTCTAGGCCATGTAACAAGAATGCAGCTCTCTTTTGCAAGGCGCTTTACAAACTCTGCCCTCTTCTCGCTTTTGTGATCAACACTGTTATTGCTGGAAGTCTCATAACTTCTTCCTTTCAATTGGCCAATCCCTGCTGGTCATAAAGTGTCAATCAACAATCAATTCAAAAATTGTGTCTAAAAGCAGACCTCTTAAATTTTATGTTGAGAACTCTACTGCCAGTTTATTAGGAATGCACTAGAAAGCTCTTAGTACCATCATAGTAAAATTATTTTATTTATTTATACCTGAGACAAATAAGTATTTGTTAATCCAGCTCACCATCACTAACAAAAAAATCTATTTATCTGCTCATGTTTATTGTCACTTGACACTTGTAGGGGAATGGCAGCTGGACGATGTATTTAGCAAGTATTTAGCAAGCTACACAATGGGCATTCCTGTGGCAAAGTAAAGTGGTATGCTAATCAATGCTTGTGTTCAGTGACTGGAGACTGCAACCAGCTAGAAGACTTAAAAGTATCTAGGGTAAGCACTGTGAGTTCTCTGCTTAAAGAAAAGGAACAACAGAACTTAAGGAAGGGACTGCAAATTAAAATAAATAGTAAAATAAAATTAAAAAAAAAAAAACACAACAAAAACACAGCAAACTATTTACCTGACTGTTACATATACTTTCATATTCGTCCACCAGATCAAAAATAGTAGTTGACTGTATGCTTCAGGAAGGAATGTAGAAAATCTGAGTACATGCTCATAGTAGCTAGAATACATATAAGAAGAGACAGTCATATTAGACACAATGTGGTTAAAAAATCCAACACTACAAAAAAAGAATCCTGATGACAAGGCATCTTGTCATTAATAAAGCTAAGCAAAGGCAGAAATGATACGAACTATTTATATCCCATAAAGTCAGAAGAATTTACCAGCTAAGACAGTAAGATATGCAGAAGCTACGATGTAAGTCAAATAATTATAAAACTTTTGCTGTAAATCTGTCATCTGAGAGAGTTTTAAAGACAAACTTGTTTGTCTGTCTCCACAAAGCTAATCCAGTTTGTGTTTTGCATCACCACAGTGTCCCATTTGTGTCATCAATTTCCACAGAAAACACAAAATGGCAAAACTGCAATGACTGGAAAAGTTAACTTTCTGAACTTTTAAGACGAGATATTTCTATGCCAAGAACAGTCTAAACAAAATGATACAGAAAACCAAGAACATGTATGTGTGGTCAGTTACAATGAAAACTTCAGATTATCTCACCAGCTTCTCCGGGATCATCCTCACGCAACAGCACAGCGCTCATAGTGACATCTTCTGTCATGTCCACATTTGTAAACAGTCCTGTCTGCTGAGGTGAGAGCACTGTTGTCCAGTTACTTTCATCCAACTAAAAGCATAACAGAAAATAAACAGCCATCTCAGACTACTGCAAGCCTAGCTTCAAAGTTTCTTTTTTTTTTCATGCTATCTGAATGGTGCAGAGCAATTCTAAAAATTAAAAATGAAATATCTGCCTTTAGATAAAGCGCAACGACTTTAACAAATAGCTCTGAAAAGATAAATTTTAATCTGGAAAAAGGAAATTCTTCATGTTTATTTTCTTTTTTCCCCCACTAGGAAATAAAAAAAAATGTATAATGTAATCAGACCTTGCATTTTACATCACTGTGTATCACTTTTCCCCTTAAAATAAATGCATCAGTCCATCCTTTTGTATTCTGTTAAACATTTACCAAGTATTTTGTTGACTAGGTTGTAAAGCAGCTGTGAAAAGTTAAATAAAATAGTTAAAATTTGATCAGAACCATTTACTTCTGTCTTCCAACCTTCTTGGAGAATTGCTCAAAACCCCTGATTGAATGAAGCAATACATCTTTAAGGAGAGAATATAAAGAGTATTAAAGTGGGAAATAGAGACACAGCTATACTTTCTTGGGAGTATTTCAGGGGAGGTATTTGATAACATATCAGAGATAAGGCAGCAAAATGGCCAAACCAGGAGACAGACCGTACATACACTGCACTGACAGGACAGCTTCCTGTAGCTGTTTCCATGACAGCAACTGCTTTCTCAGCAGCAATTAATGCCATATGAAGATCCCGTGATATGACAATGGTTGATTCTTTTTCCTGACTGTTAAAATGGTCACACCCAAACCAGACAACACTGTCATAAGTCTCTTAAGTGTATCCAAAAACTGTGGACATAACTGTTGTTCTTCCTTTTATGCCCCAGTTTCTACATGCTGTACTTCTCTTGCCTGGTTTCTCTCTGCCGTTATTGCCCTCTAGGCAGCCAGAACAGAAAGCTATTGCACTCAGCAACATCCAGACAACTGAGTAAAAATAACAAGAAGCTCACTTCTACTAAAATATTATCAGGTCTCTGTGGGAAATACAAAAAGGTCTGATGAGCGTTCTAATCTACCAGCACGTAAATTTCCACAAGACATAATTTTAAGTCCTTTTTCCATCACCCTCCTGTGAAAGCTTTGGTTTAGTCCCAAGATTTCCCTTGCTAATCTACACTGGATTTGAGTCAGAGCACTAAATGCTATGCATTTTGTGAGTGAAGTTCATTTTACGTATTTACAGAACATCAAGAGGCTCTGAATCAGGACAACAGCACTACTGCTAACAGCTTTATCAATGCTGATCAAGAGCCTGAAGGCCCCAGAACCTTACAATTTAAAGAAACAAGCAGGCCATTACAAACTATAGAAACAACCAAAAGGAAGAATGACTTCAAATGCACACACAGAAACACATCTTTCAAGTCAATTTAAAAATAAACAGAGAAAAATTATTTTAGATGTCCCTATTTACAACTTTTCTAATCATTGTTTTTCCAAAGATGTTATAGTAGAAGATAATTAATGTCATCTGAAAAGCAATCAGAACAACTTGCTCTTTGAAGTCCAAACATTAAGATCCAAAGGAAGCCTAATACTGTGCTAAAATAAGAAAAACTCTGAAGGTTTAATTTGCTGACAGAACAATCATCTTTGAAGCATCTGTAAACAAGCAAAGTCAAGCTTTCTGTAGTCACAAGCAGATGTTATAAGGAACAGATTAACATAGTATAGTTAAGAAATCCATAAAATGCTCTTCATTCCTTACTGCATCATCTCAAACACCACGTTACTAAATAACACTAGTAGCAAGCAGCAACAGAAGCAGTAGTAACAGCAAGCTTGTCCCACCTGCAGTTCGTCCTTGGTGCAAACTATGGAAACACTGAAAAATGGTAGCTTACTGTAAGTTTCACAGGATCTAAACAGAAAAATGTGCTCAAACCATCTCACCATTGACATATTGCCGAGCAGTCCAGGAGTCTGGAGGATCAGAGGAGATCTCCCTCCTGTTCCCAGGATGGCAGACATATCCGTCTGCTTCATGGCGCTTCGAGACAGCGAAGTAACTGAAAGACAGAGAGCCTTTTCTGAAAACAAAAGCTGGTTAAGACCACTTTGCTCTATCAAGGAAAGTAATCTTGCAGTGCTGACTGAAGTGTTTATGAAATCCTGCTTACAGAAGAAACAGACAAACCAACCTGATGGAGAAGTGACTTGCTCCTATTGCTATTTTCATTCCACTTCATTCCAGGCTTGTACAAAACCCACAAATACCAATTAGAAATGTCTTAGGCCTGAGAACACTTGGAAGTAAGGATGTTAATCTTGACTATATCCTTACTAATAAAGGAACTTAATAATTAGTAATCCTTACTAATAAAGGAACCTAATAATCTAACTCTCTAGTTATGGTAGACTTATACAAGCAGCATTAGCCAAGTCTGAAGCATTCTCAAGCACTAATCTTCAGTTAGGAAGCACTTCGTCCAGTTTGGAAGCAGAAGATCCAATGCCTGTAGCTTTTTTTTAAGTGTCTCAGATAAACAGAACTTTCTTAGAACGTCCCCAGTCCTGAAGATGGCCAAGAACGTGTCTGGTCACTTCTTCTGACACCCTCGAATTATAAGGGGACAAAGCCATTGGAAACAGGCAGACAGAGGCTAGAAGGCTTCACACCAACAGGTGTTTGGCTCTCCACACATCAGTTTTGTACAGACCTAGTCAGCTGAAGAACCAAAGGTTTCTGTCTTTGTATTAGCACTTACCTTGAATCACCACAAATAAATTTCCTGTAAACTCCTGAGATGTGAAAGTCAGGCATACTGAAGATCAAAGAGACAAATCAATTCCCAATTTTCAGAACTAGAATTAGAGCTACTAACATTACCAGTCTGACTCTGAAGTTGTAGGTCAAAGCACTCAAGCTGTCAGCGGGTCATCATTCTCCTCTCCTTCATGGTACCAAAAAATATCTGCTAAAATCTCCCCTGTCCATATGACACAATACGCTCAAGGCTCAGGAATTTACAGGGTGGCAGAAAAAAAGCCTACACTGAATAATTCTCAAATACAGTTTCCAATAGCCCCAAATGCACAACTGTGAGCAACTGACATCAAAGGAAACAAAAAAAAAAAAGCTTGTTCCCAGGAGAGGAGGTAATGAATGCAGTTCACAAGAACACTTCAAATGTTCCATTGTAGGAATGAGACTGTACAACAGGAACAGAAACAGGAGTAAAAATGCCAGTGTTTACTTTGCTGCAGGATCTTCAGACCGCTTGAAAAAGAAGCAGCTCTAGCCTTCTCTCCAGGCTGAACAACCCCAACACCTCAGCCTGTCCCCACAGGAGAGGTGCTCCAGCCATGAATGCAGGGCTCCAGTTGGGGTCTCACAAAAGCAGAGCAGAGGCCATCAAATACTTGCCATCAAGTGCTTGTATTTTGGGGGGCAACTGCTGCACAAGCAAACCATACGCTGCCTTTTATTGAAATTCTTTATTGCTAAACTTTCTGAAAATGGGCAAAACAGAAATTTCACAGTGACAGAATCCAGGCAAGTTGTTACATCAACACGTTAGGTGAAATCAAGATCTTCAGTGAAATCAAACAATGCTCAAGATGGTATTCATAACTTCTATTTTATTTTAAAGAGAAAAAAAGTTGAAAGAGAGCCACCTGACTAAAATGTCACAGCATGACATACAACGCTTATCTCTTAAGGGAGAATTAATACATGACTTGTCTCCAAGCAGTCCTGGAAGAAGGATGTGGAGCAGCAGCAGGTGCTGCTCCAGCAGAAAGAAAGCAAGCCTCTCCTCAGAGATTGCTGGAAAACACTGGCTAGATGACAATAAAATCAGAAACCCCTTATATGAGCACTTCAATGATGAAAAAATAAAGCCTATGGGAAGAGACCAACAATAAAAAGTAAGGTAAGCCCTGGTGATGACACGGGAATGGGAGGAATGGGCATTTCTTCATTTCAGCGAGAAATGGCAAGGGAGGCTCTAAGAGGATTACAGATCTTTTCACAATATGATTAGTGTCAAGGCAATGCTAAGAACAACCTGCAGCTTCATTGTGAGAGCTGTCAATGCTGACACACGAGTAGCTCGAGAAGAAGGCTGATGCTAAGAGCATGTATCTTTGGTGCTGGCTCAGATTTTATATCTTAGCCACTAGATATTGCACTAAATAAGAACAAACAGGGGCCACGCGGAACTTGACAGGGAACCTGAGAAATCACAAAGAATCAGTCTCTCTCTGGAACCTGCGATCTTCCACCAGTGCCAGTTTGGGAACAACTTCCAACGCACTCCGAGTATGTGCAAACTGATGCTGAACACGGGGCTGAGACTGGGAGATGTCAGAGCAACCTGACCCCAGCCACCACCAGCAGTCACAGCCCTTCCTGTGAAGCGTGCTGTCTCATCTCTTCTCCGGTGGAGAAGGAAAGCACTCAGAGATGTAACCAACACATACACCTGTTACAAAGGTCAGCAACAGAACTAGCCTACCACTTAGGGATGAAAAAATGCCTGAAGAGACACTACAAGACAAAATACCTTGAAAAATTGAAGCTGCTGCAAAAACAAAAGAAGTTCGTGAAGAGGAGGGGAATTAAACAAACTAGATTGCTGACTAGCAAGGCAAGAATCATTCAGTTTCAATGTGATACTTGAGTATTTCATTCTGTGCCTACTGTCTTGTCTTTTTACTGGTCACCACCAAGAACAGCACAGCTGTCTTTTTACTCCTCTTTTTTCACTCCCATCAGCTGGTTATACGGCATTGTCAAGATCCCCCTGAGCCTTCTTGCCTCCAGGCTAAACCATCTCAGCTCCTTTCAGCCTCTCCTCATCTATCAGATGCCTCAATCTCCTGATCAACTTCTTGGTCCTTCACTGGACCCCTTACAGTGCAGTCCGTGTCTTTACCATTAGGAATTCTTATTAATTATCAAGTACAAGCATATTATTCCTTTTAACTATATACTAAAGTAAGAAGTCTTACGTGGCTGGCGAAGCAATGAACAGGGAGTTCTGGAAATCAGATGGCTTCTGGGCGTCATGTTTGCAATGCTGTCATCCAGGGATGTAAAAACTGATTAACAAATAAGTTAAGAAACACTCTTCCACACAAACTTTCAGGTTTATGCAACAACAACAGTTCTATTGTGAACACTTGGAAAGGAAGAACGTTTTGGTGGGACTGAAATCTAATAAAGGTTACACATTCTGTCTTTCAGACTAAAGCAGAAAGTCTTATTCATAATCCTGAATTAGGTCATGAAATGTTTCGCCAAAAACTGGAGAGCTAGAAGGGACACTCTACAATAAAATTCAGAAACATAAGCATAACAGGTGTGGGATGTCTTGGTCCTTGTAAGTGCTTGGATTAAAGAGAGTACTTCTGCCCCGTAAGGAGCTGCCTATATCCTGCATAAACCGCAAGAAAATTCAAGCCTGAATGCTTTAAGAAAGTTTTCTATCATTCCATTCCATGATACCAATGACTTTAACAAAAAGGCCTCTGTTGCTCTACTTTGCCTCCTCCTGTCAGCGACCAACTTCGATGCTCTAGGCATGGTTTATTAAAAAGTGGTGTGAAAGTTTCAGCGGCCTCTCTCATGTCAGTCTCTAGAAACATTAATTCTAAACAACAACCATAAACAAGGCCAATATCTCACTAGCTTTATAAAGCTTACAAAACAAAAACAAACAACAACTAACAGCAGAAGGATGGGCACAGGTACTGCATTCCTTTGCTGACACAAACAAAAAAAAAACAAGCAAACACCTTTATATTAGCTGCTGAATTAAGTATTTCTTCGTATTGTAAATAAGTGGGGAGGAAAAAAAGTTCTGTGAAAATTCAGATCTATGTATGTGCGCATCTCGTGTTATTGCTGTGGATGGGAAGCTACGACATACTGAATGAAAACAATACCATTAGAACAAAAAAAATATGCAAAAGAACATAAACCCACAAAATTAAGATATAACAGACTGAAGAAAACTCAGGTATGGAGCCAGCTATGGCTCACATAGTTCTCCAGGCTGACAATAACCTGAGTTTGTAAGCCCACAAAACCCTGTAAAAACACCCTGCTACAGAAAGGAAGGGGTAAATAAGACATCCTGGCAATCATATTGGCCCAGAATCAAAATAATCAGTCTAAATACAGTCAAGAATTGAGTATACGAGCATCCTGACAGCCTTGTACTTCCCTGAAGTCTAGCAAACACAAGACATCACTACAGAAGCTTTGACACAGGTTGAGATTTATGAAAACAGCAGGGAGGATAAAGGAAGGGAGAGAGAATTTCCACTCAGAAGAAACACCACTCAGAGAGAAGGCAAGCACTGCATCCTTTGGCTTATGCCTAACTTAAGGGTCAAGCCGTTAACATCCTCCCTTTTAGCTTTCAGATATTGCAATCGTAGCTTTGTTATTGAACTTTTCTCCTTCTTATGGAATAAAAATACCACATAGAAAAGAAAACAGGCTACTGGAGAAGAAAAAAAGGAACTGCTCAATAGCAAAATTCACTGCAGGGTACCTCAAGAATCAGGTGATTTCAAAGTATTTTTAAATATTACTCAATTTGGAGAGGTATAAGGCAAGGAGTAATTTTTATCATAACCTTAAACAGCAGGGAGGTTGCTCTGTATTTGAAAACCCTTCCCGAGATGCTCGAAGCGACAGACGCGGCAGGAGGCCGGCACACGGCAGCGGTTGACCGGCTGGGACAGCCGCCACAGAAGGATACCGGGCACCCGCTTCTGGGAGCCCTGCCTCCGGCCAGGCCTGGCCACCTCCACGTCGCGGGGCGACAGCAGCTCCCCGAAACCGCTCCTGCAAAACAGCGACACGGGCGCGGAGTCAGCAAAGGGGGGCGGCAACGCCTGAGGCGTCCCCGTGCCCGTCCCTTGTCCCTTGTCCCTTGTCCCCGTCCCGCACCTCTCCATGGCCCCGCTCCCTCCCGGCTCCTTCCCCTTCCCGCCTGGGCGCTGCGCACGGAAGCCGCGGCCGCCCTTCCGCCCGCGCCTGCGTGCTGCGGGCATGGCGGGGGGGGGGATGTTGGGCGTCGTCCTGTGGCGGAGTGACGGGTCGGGGGTTAAAAATAAAGAGTACACAGACACATAAACGCACACAGACGCGTATACATATACACACACGTTTCTGATGCTGGGAGGTGGGGGTGGTCGGCCTGCAGAAGAGGTGGCTGTGGGGAGGCGTCCTGCGGCTTTTCAGGACGAGGGGGAGTGGTTTTAAACTAGAAGAGGGGAGATTTAGAGTGGAGGCTAGGAGGAAATTCTTGCCTCAGAGGGTGGTGAGGCCCTGGCACAGGCTGCCCAGAGCAGCTGTGGGTGCCCCATCCCTGGAGGTGCTCAAGGCCAGGCTGGATGGGGCTTTGGGCAGCCTGGGCTGGTGGGAGGTGTCCCTGCCCATGGTCTTCAAGGTCCCTTCCAGCCCAAGCCATTCTGTGACTCCGCAATCCTATGAACATGATTAATCTGTCACACAAAATGTTTTATTCCTCAGCTAGAGCCAGCCAGCACCTGCTCCTTGCCAAACTGGGACAAGACTGTGGCCAGCAGCTTGCAGACGAGTGTCTGCCCTGCTGCCTTCCCCCAGAGCTCCTCAGGCTCCTGCCACTCCTGTTAAGAGAGAAGCAGCAGCCGTGCAGGGTCACAGAGTCCTCAGCACTCAGGGCAAGCTGACAAAGGTACGAAGCTGCCTCTCCCCTTCCTCCTCAAGAAAAGGTTTTGCACACTCATTAACTACAGGAAAACAATAGAGCCAGGTGCTACCAACAGTCCATTTACTTGCGCTTTAGTACAAGGAAAACCGTCCACGTGGCATTGTTAGTATAGACAGGAAAGTAATACATCTAAAAAAACAGCTGCAAGAAGCAGAATTGCAAGACATCATCACAACTGCCATAGCTTGATTAAGACACTAATGAAAAGCAGTGGCACCAACACACAGTGCCTCACTGGAGCTGTTGGAGAGCCTAACCTAGCAAGGGCCTCACATGAAGAGGGACACTGAGAATGCTGATGGAGCTCTGGTGTGCAGGCACACAGGCAATCAAGACCCTTAGAGAGGTGATGCTTCACCCAGGAATTGAAGTTTTGACGGAAAAACTGTAAGCCTGAAGTTGCCCTTCTATCATGAAAGTGTCAAGCAACAACCTTCATTACAGCAGGAAAGCAAATATTAATACCAAGGAACTATTATAATCTGATGCAATACTACATACTCAGTGCATTTTACTTCTTAACACATCCTCACAACACATATTATTACTGTCTGTACTGTAGTGAGAAGTTCAGCGTAATGCACAAATTAATACCTGGTTCAGTTCTTTGCTGCCGGCTCAAACTCTTGGGCTAGTCCTACCTTAGGGCAGAAAACTGGAGGCAAGTGAGAGGTGTAGTAAGAGAGAAAATGCTTCCTTTATATACTCCTCAAGTTTATTCAAAGCAGCAACATGAAAACAAGGAAAAGAAACAAGGCTGAAGAGAAAATAAGAGAGCAGCATGCAGCACACATTTTTTCAAAAATAAATAAGTAAAAACAAAACACCATCACATTAAAAGAAAATGGAAGATTCAGGAACCTTAAGAGAAGTTTTCTGAGTCTATACAACCTCTTTAAATGCAGGCTGAGGAAGCACCTTACAGTCATCAAGCTGGCTCCAGGTTAAGGGGTGTGCACAGGTGAGAATGGGACAAACATCTTGAGGTGTGTTTCAGGCAGTATTTTTTTTTGACTACCATCCCATTTCATTTATTCGACAAAAAGAAAAAAGGAGAAAAAAGCAAAAAAGTCTAACACAAGCACCTTACACTTTCAAGTAGCAAAAGGGAATGCAAATAAATCTTTAGCATGATATAAAGGACTTTGAATTTAAACTATGATTACGATTTATAAATACATCTCAAGTTTCACATTTGCACCAGCACTGATCCTAATTGCAACCATGTTGTCAGAATCTCGAGTTTATCCGAGGATAGCAGTGCTCCAACAAGACCTCATCAGCTAGCACTAACACACACACTGCAGGTTTGTCACTAATGCCTGATGTTCCACAATTCCATTCTAACTTTCTTTAAAGTTCACAGGGGTTTACAGGATGTACTAGATTAAGGTTCAGGATTACTTGTGTAATTTTCATCTAGTATAACTAACTCAAAACTCTCATTACGATTTACAAAATGCTTTAACATAGTTGATAAAAAAATTACCCTAATGCATTGCTAAGCTGCAAACATGACATCTGCATATACAAAACTGTAGTCTTAATTTAGAACCATTAAAAGCAGTAGCATGAGAAAGTTCTATGAAGCTGACAGCAGCATAACTGCATTAGCTGAGATTTCAGTGCAAAGAAAACCATGGAACCTACACCATACCTCAACTCTTTTTATGAGAAGGAAAGTAGTCATAGAATTGTTGAATGGTTTGGGCTGGAAGGGCCCTTAAAGCCCACCCAGCTCCAACCCCCTGCCATGGCAGGGACACCTTCCACCAGCCCAGGCTGCCCAAAGCCCCATCCAGCCTGGCCTTGAGCATCCTCCAGGGATGGGGCACCCACAGCTGCTCTGGGCAGCCTGTGCCAGGGCCTCACCGCCCTCTGAGGGAAGAATTTCCTCCTTATATCTAATCTAAATCTCCCTTCTTCTCGTTTAAAGCTAAAAGCATTTCATGGTTTAATTCATTTTTCTTCTTAGTCAGAATGCATCCTTGGAAGTGTATAATTTTTCATCTTTGTAAAATTTGAATGCAAGCAGTCTTTTTTTCTTTAAGTTAATCTCAAGAATGACATGAAGTATTCATGCGCTTGCTTAGTATTAAAATACCTATGATGACTCTCAAATTAAGTTTTTTTGGGGGTATGGGGTCTCACCCCAAACCGATGTTGATTCCTGGGCCTACTCTTATGAGGAAGCTGAACTAAATATTTTTATTAAAAAGAAAATGCTAACAATTTCATAACTGTCATTTTATGTCTGAAAGACAAGACATTAGTGCCAAAGGCCTGTGTTACATTGGCCCTGTTACAAGCAGCAAGCCCAGTTTATGAAAGCTGGGATTTCACATTTAGATTTGTGTCCTGTGTGACAGTGAAGTTACTGAATCCTCCCTGGTAAACTTAAGACAGTAAAGATGCCACATAGGTGGCATGAAAAGGTAACGTGTACTGACCAAAGAAATAATAACTTCTACTATAATTTCACTCCGTATCCAAGATTGCTGAAGCATTTCCCCCATTCCCCTCCAAGATACAGTAGCCAAAAAAAAATTGTTTGAATTAATTAAAAATCACACTTTTTAGAATGAAAGTGTTCATACCAAACAGTCTCAAAGAAAACAAATGCTGGTGGCCACAAACTTTCTTAAAACAATGAAACTTGGGTTTGTTACGCAGAACTAGTATTTCTTGAGGCTGAAGTGAGTACAGTGGAACGATGAAGACATTCATTTCTCTCCCTAAAGAATATCTCATTGAAAACAGGAAGCTACCCTCTGTCCGATGATTCAAAAATTCTGAAAATAAATGGTTCTGGATGGTATTGAAAGAGACACAAACCTCTGCACCTATCTGCTGTTTGAAGCTCAGATACTATAACACTGAGAACAGAAGAGAACAGCTTTGCTTGTACTTCAAAACAGAATATAAGGTTTGCTACAAGCATCATTCCAGAATTTTACTTTACAGAACAGAGAAATTAAATTAGGTTTTAAGAATCTTCAAGTTGTTCATAAACCTTTCAAAGTGGAAGGTGCTTGAGACTCAGAAATGAGAACGTAGGAGCTCTGCTTTTCTAATGCTACCTTTGAGAACTACATACAACTGCATTTTGTTACGTGTTTGAGCAACTTACTTGCTTTCATTATCCTCCCCATGCACAGACAAGAAACAATAGCTATAAATTGAAGTATAGCTTAACGCTGCTGGGATAGCAGTTTAACTTTGGATTAACAGCTCTCTTTCTTCACTGATGTTTGGCTACATCTTCGTATTACAATTCAAAAGAGCTTCAGAGAGTTGTATACAGACTAACGTCTTCAACAATTCAAGTCTAAAACTAAATTTCTATTGTTATTAAGTCTACGCTGAAGCCTATCTAGAACTAGTTCACTATTGCAGGAGAGTTCCCCCCCCCAAGCTATCCCCCAAATTAGGAAAGACTAGAAAATTTTGGAAGAAAGCTCGATTCATCATTATTTTTTTGGTTTTTGTTTTTCCCCTTAAAGAGAGGAAAATCCTCATCTTTAGTGCTTACCCATGAGGAAACAGCAATTCTAATTACAACATTACAGGAGAAAGACACACAGCTTTAATCAAAATTGCATCAATACTCTTCTCCCACCTTCCCTTTCTATCATCGCAGTATTGGCACATATTACGAAACGAACTTAACATCTAACTCTACAACACTTTTCCAGAAGTTGAGTTTCCTTATGCAGAAGAACAGCAGTAGTTTGAGTTTACAGTGCATTCATTTGGGCATCTGAAAACATCCTGCAGTCTCAAAATATTCCCTAAGTTAGGCAAGTAGACATTCATTTCACAGAATAATTTGAGAATGAAGAAGGGCATTAGTAACAAGTTATAAGAAATAAATTTATGCTGAAAAGTTGTAATAGGAAGAGTGCAATTCCATTAAAATACTTTTATATTTCAGGAGATAAACATTACTTTTTCCATAGAAAGCTCAGACACTTAAATACCGACATAAACCAATTTCAGATTAGGTTGGAAAGAAAGCAGTCAACCTCTCCGTGCGCTGTAAGCATTAGCTAACTTTATAGGCCATAATGCATATGTATTAACACTGAATTTAGAAAATTACTGCATTAGTTTCCTGAAAATATGAATTATGCAGGTTTTCATCCAAAGCTTTAAGAGAAATGTTCTGTTTCTATAGAAGTAGTTGAAGTGTGAACTTCTTAAGCGTTGGTAGACAAAACAGTTATCCCGAAGACGTGTAGAAGTTTTCAAAAAATATTTCAGCAGACTGGATTCTTTTCTAGAATTAACTGCTAACATAGTTTCATTTCCTGTGAGGAATGTTCCTTCCTCAGTGG